CCCTTTACCAGTCAAAGATGGCGGTAAGTCATATATTGAATTCCATCTGCAACATTGGTACTCACCTGACGGGGATATATTGCAGTGGAATATGCAGAGGACAAGAGGCAAAGAACGAGATAGACAGAACTCAAATTCATGATCCGTGCTGTTGATGATCCAAATTAAAGCTAGTTAGAGCGAGTCACGAGAAGCACAAGGGACGAATCACTCATTAGAGGGCGAAGGAGAAGGTCGTTGATGAGCAAGATCGTTGACTGAGCTGTAACTGAAGTCAGGCGATTTGGCAGCAGCAACCCACAAAAAGAGTCACATTCTTGTAGAAAGACCAGCGAAGACTACAAGGGTACAACAATTAAAATTCACAAAACAGCAAAGGGCCGTGAAAAGGTGATGTACCTGTGTTAAATCTCTTTCTTGGACCAGCAAAGAAAGGGATTTGAAGAAAAAAGAACACGGTGACCAGCAAGGAAAGAATAATCTTCAATCTGCCCAGAATTGTCAGTATTTATGTGACACGGAACCGTCTATCAGCGTCTATCGCTGGCAATCTATCTATCATATTTAGGGCGTCGGGTACTTCGAAAAGGTTCATCCTAGGCCATCGCGACGATGCGTTTTCCGTCGCATTCTGCAGGAGATTGAACCTGATTGAACCAAGAAAGGAAAGGTGCAACAGTCTGGGCCTACGGAGCCCTATGACTGCTATAGAATCGGAAGCCCTCAGAGCCTATGCGGATGATAATGTCAGTGGCTGCCCTGATTGAACCGAGAAAGGAAAGGTGCAACCGTCTGTGACCGCCACTGGCCGTAAGTTCAATCGTCTTCCGTCGTATCTTGCAGGAGATTGAACCTGATTGAACAGTCTGTCCACCGCTGGCCTGTTCTCGCTAAGGTCGGCCGCGGTCGGCTAAACCAAAAAAGGAACGGTGGAGAATGAGGGAGAATGGTGGTCTTATCTGAATCTATGATCTGAATCAGAAAACCAGTTTTTCGATTTTATTGAATCGGAGGGAAGCGGTTAAATACCAACGCTAGTAACTGTTCAATCTACCTCCTGCCCTTCTTTGCTGGTCAAAGACAGAAACTTGGTGAGTACACGCTATGAACTATCTCATTCAGCCTACAATCTATCATCCAGGTCGATTTCAACGTTGTTCTTCTCTTTTGCACGTTCAATTTCCCGTGTTTCACTGAGCCCCGTTCATTTGTGAGTACAAGTCGATGTTCATTTTAATCTCATGTTCACCTCTCCGAGTCGTCTTGTTTAATTTCACAGATCTTCATGCATTTCAATCTTGCTTTCTTTATCATCGGGCTTGTGTCCTTGGTATCCGGACTACCTATAGCTCATCCGGTTAGATTATAGTATTCCGAACTGAGGGAATAACCGACGAATATTCTTTTTGTCAGGTCTCTTCCACCACCGTGCAAGTTCACTCTCCTCGCATGAACAAGCCAGTGCCGCCACCACTCACAGTCGTATCAGTGACGATCAAATACAATTCTGCTCTTCCTCAACAGTGGATCACCGATGCCCTTAAAACTGATTCTGGCTCCACGACCCCCACATTCACTGCGGACGCAAAGCAGAAGGGTGCTGAGGCTGAAATAGCGTTGAAAGATCCTAATGGTGGCAAGCACACAAAGAATGTGAAGCTGAAGCTCAAGGTTACTGCTATGTACTATGCACCGACTTAACCTCAGCGTATCATAGAAAGCTCTTTGTAATGAATACCTATCAAACGCGTTGAACGAATATAGACCTAAGGCCAAAGCTGGCGATACGAGTCCGGTCAGGTACACTTCGTAAATAAGTCTTTCACTGTGTTTCAAACTCTCATCTTGTGTATAGTCTTTTCTCTCCCCGTCCGTCGTTTTATGTCCAATGAATATGGCAGACATGTTTATTTAAATACAGTAGGTTCGAAACCCCCCGCCCTCAGCTTTCTATGATACGCGGCTGTTCCTCAATGAAACCATGTTGGTTTTCCTTTCCTTTCCTGAGGGTGAGTTCGTTATATATACATTCTTTCTTCTTCTAACATTACTTACTATTTTCTTATTTAACTCGTACACATGATCGTAGTTGCAGAACAGGTTCCTAAGCTTCAACCTTTAAAGAGGTAGCGGGAATATGTATGTATTCTGATGTCAGGATTCATTATCACCTTCCAAGTACATAGGTCGAGACTTAGAAATTCAGATTTTCATACGGTGATCTTACCAGGGTGGAATAAATAACTTGGCAATTCGGGGTTCAGGTGGAGTTAATGACCTCGCAATCGTTCCAGTAGTGATGATTTTTCAAATTGGTACCAGTAAAATGCATTGAGTTCCTTCCGGAGTCCTATTACAGCCTATTATCCAAGGAGCGTAGCCGATTTACCCTTCTTCTTCTTCTTACTGGTGTTCGCGAAGGAGCGCCAGGAGTCGACACGTTGTTCTCGATTTGCTGCAGGGGAAGAGAGTCATGATATTGACAAAAAAAACAACCGTTGGAAAGAGAATACCTTCCCAAGCTTTGTCATCGTCAGCTTTCCTCTTCCTGGTAGCGACCTCTTCGTCCTTCTTCCGAGCTTCAAGTCCTTCATTGGCGAGTGCAAGCTGAAGAGCTCTGGAAAATAGATAATCAATACGACCGCTCCAAGTACTGCTTGAAGTCGTTCTGCAGTACTCACTTCCGCCGCCGCAGCTCCTCGTCGATTAAAAGTTCCTTTGTCTTTGCTCTAACCCTTTCCCTCCAAACTTTGACTCCACCGAGCGCTGTTACCTCCTCACTTGCTTCAATCTCTTTGATAGCCTTGTTGTTCATGCTTGACCAACCCATCTCGCGCACCAATAGTGTCCGGGCCTGAGATAATAATGCATCCAGCTCGTCTCGCTTTGCCTTCTCAGAAAGCTCCGATTCCGCTTTCTTCAGGATATCGAAAGCATCAGGCGCGCGAGGATGAGGAGTCTTATCCGGGTGTATGACTTTTTTAAACAGTGATTAGAAAGTAAGGTCGATGAGAAGGCAGTTTGATTGAGACTAACACAGTGATAGTTGTCTGTACTTTTTCTTGATATCGTCTTGAGTTGCGGTTTCATCCAAATCTAGAATGTCATACGGGCTGCGAGATGATTCATTAGGTATTGAAGCCGTGCCTTGGACATATCTGACCCACTTCAACTTGAAAGCCTTTAATATCCTCTCTACTTCGACTTCCCTCTGGAAAGCCGACGCCTCTCTTGACAGAAGTTTCTCTAATTCTGCATCTAGTATGGTGGGCGGTGATGGTGAACGTTTCCCCTTTGAAGCTTTCGAGGATGGGCCTGCAGCAGCATTATTCGACGACGTTGATGTTGACATTGAGTAGCCACGATGAGGTACGAGCAATTCAGAAGGTCGACCAATACAGTCATCCAGCTTATAAGCGGCAATACGGCCCGAGACCTCCCTCAACAAGGACGGTCATGAGCTCGAATGCAACCTTGATACGCTCTTTGCTTTCATCTCGACATACAAGGTCACCATTCTCGCATCAAGCACTTCTCAATAGTACCATCTGCAGGAAGACATTTTACTCTATCATCTCTTCTAATGCGACTGTACTTACAGGCAAGAAAACATTTGTATGTGTTACTCTGAGATGAACTTCTATCTTTGTGTATTTCTTATGATCTGGTTCAGCTGCTCCCCAGATCCATGAAACCATGGGTACGCCCACTGGCGACAAATCATGGTTCCGATCAACCTTCGCCATCTCTTTCTCCTCCTCGGAGACCCATTAGGGTAGGACCTGCGCCGCGGTATCGGTCGAGGGAAGAAATGTACGCAGACCGTGCTCGAAAAAATCGCTCATTACTGATGTACACTGGAGCCGTGGTATGCTTGCTGCCGATTTTTCTTTTTGGCTTTTCTTGTCTTATATTCTTCTTGCTCTCGTGCAGATCGTAAGTTTTTTAGGCCTAACGTATGCTGCTGTCCCCCTCTACCGTCTCTTCTGCTCCGCAACTGGATTTGCTGGCACGCCCAGTACACGGACCCAGGCTGCTCCTGGACCGGAATACCCCGAATGGATGCCGGAATGGTTGAAGATTCTGCTCTCGCCCTCTACTGCATCCCAAGATCGTTTTGCTCCGTCGAGGTTGATTGCTGTCGATCCTGCAGATGACCCAAAGTCAAGGAGGTTCAAAGTCACCTTTACATCTAGCACTTCTACAGCGCTTCCATGGACATTCAGGGCCGCTCAGCATCATGTCTATGTTCTTCCCGGTACGTTCCGAGGTGGTATACAGGTCGAAGGGAAGGTTTACCATTTTTTCCGGCAGGCGAAAGCTCTCTTGCGTTCTATACGGCAAAAAATAATAGCAAAGATGATATTATAGGTATTGCCACATACAACGTAACTCCGGATCGTGTAAGTTTCTTGAACAAACGACCTCCCCGCCGAAACTCGCCAATTCCTCCTAATCCCAATGCTGACACCCCAATTCCTCCTCCTTAAGATTGCTCCTTACTTCTCCAAAATTGAATGTTTCTGCTTCGACGAACAAAAACTGCTCGCTTCGGAAACTGTTGATATGCCTCTTCTATTCTTTATCGACAAGGACGTACTAGATGACCCCAGTTGTAGGAATGTGGAAGATGTCGTGTTAAGCTATACATTTTTCAGGTGAATGATTTACAGCTTAACCATGCTACTACCGATACATGTCACGATGTGTTGTGACTGATCATCTCGTTCTTTCCTATCATAGAGCCCGAAGAAACCAGCAAGGTCATCTGGAGCCTGATGCACCCGAAGACGTTGTTCAGGAATCTCTTGGTTTTCAAACCTACGAGTTAGCAAAGCAGGAGTCCGATAAGTTGTCGAAAGGAATGCCAGATAGAGACTAGTTTCAGGTAGTGATATCTCCAAATAAGATTCCAATCCTATTAAACGATATCAGTAGTGCAATTGATAGATAACCTTGTGAATGAGAAATGATATAGTTGATGTCATACAATAAGTTATGGCCGGCTAGCTCAGTTGGTTAGAGCGTCGTGCTAATATATGTTACGCGAAGGTCTTGGGTTCGATCCCCACGTTGGCCAATATATTTTCGGATTAGTGTCTCGTGTTACTTTTTTGACTCTTTCTCCCATGTGCGTTTCATAAGTATTGTGTCGATCGTTTATCCGATCCGACGTCGACTCGGAAATATCGGGTGTCGAGAGCAACGGATCAGACGATCGAGGTTGATTTGCACTGCTCCACTAGGGAACAGCAACTTGGTTCGGAGAAGCCGCGTCTGTTTTGAGGAAATTTTCAGAAAAAAGGTCAGTCCAAATTTGAACCCGGGCCTTTCAGAAAGACAAGGATTACACGCTCGTCTGCTTTATGTATCTCTTTCTATGCTTTTGGTTCCCATGCAGATCAGCCTCTCGAGGCTTCTTGGCATACTATTATCCTGCTGTGATTCCCGCGACGCTGCTTATAATAAGTAGCGTGTGCATCGGTGTCAGCTATTACCTTCAATCTCTCTCCTTGTTGAGTCTGCACTGAAGTCCGGCATAGGTCGGATAGCATGAGCTCGGTTTGAATATTTCAGCAACACCGTCATACGAATGGTTCGCTTTCTTGAATGCTTTAGGTAGTCTCTTACCCTGCGAAAGCATTGCATACATTCCCAGGGACCGTTCCTTTTCAAGGTCTGTATTACCATGACAGGACATAAATATCGCATGGATCGATGAAAGATTGTTGTTTTCACCCCCTGTTAACTCATCCCCCCCTTCGCCATGCGAACCAATTTTGTCCTAGCTGGTGTTATGTTCTCCATGCTGGTTTCACATTTACAAGCAGCCCCGATAGAGGTGAGCTTGACATTCTCCATAATTCTACTGCATATCTAACTACTGCCACTGTTCTTGCAGCTTTCTGAACGTATTTCTGAACGCTCTGGAACCAATGAAGGAAGTGCTGCTGATTGGAAGCGTTCCGGAACCAGCGAGGGAAGTGCGGCAGACTGGAAGCGGTCCGGAACCAATGAAGGAAGTGCAGCAGACTGGAAACGCTCTGGGACCAATGAAGGGAGTGCAGCTGATTGGTGATACATCCATGCTAGACTGGGCTTGAATTTGTTCTCTCGCATATCAGCCCAATATGTTGTCATTCATCGGTTGAAACATCACTCTCCTTTCTGGCTCAACGCTCTTTCGTTCCCATTCATTCCTCCAGTCATTGGCAGCGCTTGTACCCTTATCGTCCGCTTTCCTAGCCCCCGAATCCTCGTCCCCGGCTCATACTTCGGCGTTCTTGCGGTCAATCATTAGTGGAAGCAACATTGACAGTCTAGCTGAGCCGGACGCCTATATCCTAGAGAATTGCATGGAAATCGTTTGCTGATTGTCGTGTTTGCTATATGGACCTGATTTGATATGTAAAGATTTTCTAATCTACCTGGAGGCTCTGGGAGGATGATTATCTATTTTCGACCACCACGTTATAGTAAAGGCTTGTTGCTCCTTCGTTTGTATACTTATCACAGTAGGAGATCCTGCGAAATCGCGTCGTGATTATTGTATGATGGATGGTAAGTACTCCGGGACGGTCCAGATTAGTTCGCCATGACACACAAAGATAATACAGACAATTTCTCATGTAAAGATCTTGCCTCGAGTGCCCATAGTAGTGCAATGTCTCGATTTGGAACTTCCTGGGACCAGGACCAATTTTATAAACTGGAAATGGGCTCCGAATCAGTGATGGTCATGGCTTTATTCATAGATGATCTTTCGCTGTCCATTATTGTCATTGTAGGATGGCAAAATTTAAATGAAGACTCGCAAGGCGGCTAGCTATGCTACTAATGACAAAGGTAGTATAACCCGTATAACGTCAGAGAGATTGGCCTCCTTGATTATGGGGGGAGGAGAGTAGTGTTCGGTCCTTGTGTAAGGTTTTGAACTAGTTGTTCTCCCAGCTTGTTGAAGGGCAAGAGGACTAGCCTATACGATACAATTGCCTGTGTCTAGTTCGTTCAAGCAAAGCTGACGTAGTGCAAAGCCAACACACGGCCAGCGTTCTGTATACTGAATTCTGTAGTGACAGTAGTCGAGTAAAACAGAAGGCACTCACGTGCAAATTGATCTGTAGCAATTTCTTATCGCATAAGCTCCCGAGTCAAGCTTTTTGGACCCTCATGTTTTGGAGGTCTGTGCTGTTTGCCTCATTTTATACATCGGCAACTTGACAGTGGATCAACAGATTTGGCTTTCACGCTGCCTCTTCGATCGACACTCTCCTTGACAAGGATGACCAATCTCTCCTCACCCTTGATAACCTCTTAGATGAAGACGACCTACTGCAAGAGTGCAAATCACAGAACACCCGACTTGTTGATTACTTTCAGCGCGTAGATGTTCTTGGAAGACTGCTGGGCTGGGTCAGTGGTGAAGTCGGGGCAGCCAAGTTTGACGACGAAGAAGAACTACTACTACGGGGATCCGAGATGGGGAATAAGACAAATAGGTTCAAGTATGTCAGGATGCCCCTTCAACTTCTGCTTATCTGACCTCCTACTTGAGATATCCTTACATTGCTACCGAAGTCCTCTGCTCCGAAATTTGGTCCATCGTTGAAACCTGCGTATCTACTCACCCAGACAAACTCCTGGTACCATTCTGGAATGCTGTATTGGACAAATTACCCGAGGATTTGAGATTCAGCACTGAGAAAAACAACACACATGCTGCAGCTCATTTTGCCAAAGTCAACGCGGTCTTCCTTGGTAAAAAGCCGGGTGAAATGCTGAAATTCATACAACACCAGCCCAGTGTTCTTGGAAGGATACTACGGCATATCGAAAATCCGTCCTTCGTCGATCTACTAGTGAGGATTATTCAGTTGGATGAGTATACGTACGGGTATGACGGCGCTGTTGGAGTCCTTGAGGTTCGTCCATGCCATTTGATGAACCTAGCTCGTACTCATTTCCATCTTTAGTGGCTTTCGTCGGAAAGACTTATTCCTCGTCTCATAGATATGCTCTCCCCTGCCTATCCGCCCGACATACATCAAGTGGTGTCTGACTTGATAAAAGGTATCATCTCGATGGCAACACCGTCCCCTGGGGCTGGACTTGCTTCCAACGGTCCGGCTGCATCAAATACTGCAATGTCTGACGGTGGGGGCTCAGGCGTTTCATCAAACCAATTTGCGCGAGAGTTGGCGAGAGAGGACAGTGTGTCGAAGCTGGTGGCGTATATGTTGCAAGATTTCTCTACATCTTTATCCGAATCCGAATCTACATTGTCCCCAGACTCTGTCAGAGCAACGCATTTCGAATCAGCCTCCTCGTCGTCCATTCATGCAATGGGGGTTCTGACTGAACTTATACGGAAGAACAATTCCGATTATTTTGAGCCATATCTCTTCCATACCTTGAGAAATCGGTTGATTGGAGTTCAGCAAGCAATGATACAGCAGGGGTGAGCTTGCGTTCTCGAAAAAAGGCTCCTGTCATATTTAACATCTGATTCAGTGAAGGGCACAACGGTGAAACGGATGGTCGTGGTACTCTTGAACGTGCTATGCGGGAGATGGTCGACAGGATGGGGGTTGTTAATCTCGGCTTTGTTCTAACTATCCTCTGCGACGATAGAAGACTGGATCGGCTCGTGAGTTATTTGCGGAGACCACGGTCTTTACTCGCTGAAAGTGGTGTGCGTCCTCTGCAAACATTCCCGCGACATTGCATGTGTCTGACGCTCTATAGACTGTCGTTCCTGCTAATATACCCGCCTCCGCCCTCACATTCGAGCGTTTCCGCATCACGGAACTCCTAGCTGAACTGCTGCATTGCTCGAACATGGCACTGTTGAACCGGCCGCTGCGGTATGTCCGCTTTGTTCTCCTGGTTTCATGTTGCTAAGCAAGATCACCAACACGAGTGCTGATTCGACATTTGCATATCTTCTACTTTTCTTACAAGAACAGATATCAGCACCTTTATGATGCCGAAGGTCGGCTCCAAGGTGGCTTAGGTGGGCTGGAAGAGTTAGCAAGAGTGATTTCATTGGGGAACGAGGACGAAGACGGGGACGTTCATCGATTTGATGGCAATGATGACATGGACACAGAGATAGAGCCCGCTTTGGAACTTCCCATATCTAGCGCATCATCAACCTCTAACGCATCTTCACTACTTGACTCTGATGAGGATGAAGATATGTCCACAAGCTCAGAAGATGATAGTATGGACATGGAAGAGATAGCCATGTACGACGAGCCTCAAATGCAGTCGACTGCAGAACCTCCTCCGATATCTCCTGAAGTCGACATGCATGCCGCTGAACCGACTGAATCAAATTCTGTTTCTCCTTCTGTATCCGCAGACAACATTGGCCCCCTGAGACATGGATCTGTGTCGAGCTTACCAACGCGGAGAAACTCACGGCGATCGACTCTGCCCAGCGCTTCTGCCCCATCCGCGGAAGCTCCCCTCGTCGTTGGCGAGAGACTTAAAAAGCGATTCCTGGAACTCAATGTGCTGGGTGTTTTGTTGGTAAGTGGTTCCGTGTCAGTGTTTCCTTATGGTCATGACTGACATATGAATTTCAGGATCTTTTCTTCGAATTTCCCTGGAATAACTTTTTACATAATGCGGTATACGATATCCTTCATCAGATTCTTACCGGGCAGGTGGATACTAGTTCCCACTACCGTGAAGATATTGAGAAACCATCAACGCAAACGGACGAGCACGATTCAGAAAGACGCTCTGAAGGCAGCAGAGGCTATAACCGCGAACTTATTCTCTCCCTATTCCGCGACGCGCAACTCATGCATAAGATTGTTGAAGGGCAGAGACGGAACGACGAAGAGAGTGCAAAACCCCGCACCCCCCGCCTTGGATATATGGGTCATTTAACACTCATTTCTGAGGACGTGCTCACCGCTTTGGATCGGTATCCTGCTTCTTTACGCGACGAAATTATGCAGTATGCTCCCAAAGGACTGGATACAGAGCACGGAAAAGGAAGTTGGGACGAATACGTGACCGGAAGGTACCGCGAAACGAAGGTGCGGGATACACGATTGCTTGGTGGGG